CTATGATCATTGTGATTCATATTAGACCTCAATTTCCTTTACATCTATATTCTCCTTTCACATTTCTTTGTGGAATCTCCTTTTTCTATATGACAAGCTTTGCTCAGGGGAAATAGTTATGAAATTTTGAATACACAGAGGGATCATCAAACTGAATATTTGTATTTGATAAGCTGAAAGCTGATGTCTTCCACATGGAGTTCACTTGCTCATTGTCACACAGCTAGTTTGCAGTACCTTCAGGGGTAGTCCTTTGAACCAAAGCCTAGCAGATGCAGATTTTAATTAGTAACTTGCATAGGAAAAATTTTCACAAGCTACAGCCAACTGATCATTTTCCTTTTTATTCAAAACAAGCTTTCTTCATGAAGTATGAAGTAAAATACAAGGTTAACTATCAGTTTTTCACCTCCAAATTCAGACCCATATAACCATGAGGTAAAAAAAAAAAATGGTTTTGTTTTTAGGGATTGTGAAGTATTTCACTGAGTAAAAATGCTTTCACACAAGCCTGATCATCCTTGAATTCGATGCCCAGAACTCAAGCTAGGAGAGAACTAATCACAAAAGTTGAGCTCTGATCTTTCCACATGCATGATGGCATAAACTTACACACACACACACACACACACACACACCAATTTTGTTATTTTTTAAAGCTGCTGAGTTATATTACAGTAACATACAGAAAGTAAACCAATAGAAATTTGTGAGTTATTAATTAAAAGTTATATGAAAAAATAAGCTGATGTCAAGCCTCTTTAGTTCATATTGCCTCCTACTCAGAGAATTTTACTCTTCTTCCCATAATGATTATCTAGTTGATGAGAAGTATGTATTAAACCTGATATAAAACTGAGTGATTTGTTCCTGAACTCTAGTAAGTTGTTTAGTTGTTACATTGCACTAAAGCAGCCCAGCTCTTTATGGGGATCTAGGTCAGAATTTAATCGTAATTAGATAATTGCCAAACACCATTGATGCTAATGATAGGTTTCTATTGCAAGCAGCCTCCTCCTGTTTATTTTTACTTTAACAAACTGGGAGAGGCCAGTCGTAAAGAAGCGAAGGTGGAAGACGCAGCGGTGCAATAGCAGTAGCCTAGCAACAAGAGGAGAGTTGAAGAGTTGCAGACGCTGATCAGGGCAGAAAGATCAGAGAACAGACACAGTGCCGGTGGAGGGAACAGTGGAAATAACAGCAAGGCAGGAGAGAGTGGAGAGTTGATGATGAAGAACCAGAGAAGAGAAATTATGAGCTGTGAAAACTGGAAGACTCTAGACTGCTACCAACCTAAAGAGTCAAGGGTCTCATAAACTCTAGGCCCACAAATTATAACACCACGGGATGCCAAGGGCTAATCCTGACATTTTATGCTTAAGATGCCGTTTTAGACATAAGCACTATCCACTGTAGAGCTGAGGATCCCAGTACCCAAGGAACTTTTGAAACTGGTTGTAATTGCAGTAGGTGCTCATTGATGCTGAAAGCCAAAGTTCGTATTACCTACCAAGGGCTATGGCCACTGGTGTCTGAAGCCCGGAGCCACAAGCCTCCCATCCATGTACAAGAATCATGAATAAATCACTCCCCAGTCTGGAGCAGTAGGCCCTTAGCTATCATGGCTTCAAGTTGAATCCTCTAGCATGGCAGTCCAACTTTGTGTTTTGGTTGGTCAAGAACTCAGGATTACCACCAATAGGAAAACTTCTACTTGCTTACCCACAGTTCCTGTCATCAATACCCAGGTTCAAAACAATGAGCTTAAGCACTGGCTGAAAACTGTGGTGGAAGATTTTACTCTTGGCAATTTGAGTTCATTTTTGTTTTATTTGTATGTGAGTAGTTTCAGTTTCTCAGCTCACCCCTTGTGTGTTTCACATCCCCTCCTTTGTAGGAATTGTCATGACAAGAAGCATTCTTCTTAAACACTAATTTTATTTTGTTCTACATAAAGTTAATATTATTATTTATAACCACCACTCTTTATATTTTCCTTCCCTTCCCTAATAAGCCCCTCCTTTCTACAAGTCCCCTTCACACATTAATGACTTCTGCGGTTGTGGTGGTTTTGCTTTCATAAGACCCACTCAATTTAATTTCAATCATTTTTAACCACACATTAGAACATGATCATGAGCAAATAAGTCCATGGTACTTGAAAGTCATCAGGCATGCTCAAAGAACATGATTATATGTTATACAGTCTATCTAGATCTCACAGAGTGAAAGCAGAACATTTGCAATTTATATTCCTTTAAGCAAAACAAAATTTCTTACACCTACATTTTTATACAAAACACAAGAAAGTTATGCAGTTTGTTTAGAAAAACACTGAACACATTTCCATGGTATTTTTGGTATCAGGATAGATCATTAAGTTTACGGCTCATGAGGGTGACAATTTGATTTTTCCATTTTATTCATGTCTATGAAAGAATGAGAATCGCTTCATTGGAATGGTATATAATGTTTATACATATTTATTAGTTCTCTTAATGCATATCTAAGTGTGCAAATTATTCATGAAGCACATAAGAAACATGGGGTGAAAATTCCATACTTTACATGTTGTTCCAAGCACATGGATTTACTAGAAAATAAGTAATTCTATTCTCAGATGATTTAAGACATATTTATTCACTTTCCACAGTACTTTTAATCAATTTATAAATATGTTTTTAAAATAACCTTTTATCATATTACCTTATGGAGCTTTTGAAAATATACCATTTGCATTCACTAGTGGGAGTTTGCAAAATCATTTCAATTTCCATCAATCTTGTGTCACTGCAAAGCATCAGACACCAGAGGCCTGATACGCATGTGTTAGAACAGAAAAGCAAATAGAAAAAAATTAAGAGCCAAGAATTTGTTTAAACTTGTAAGAAGGTGAAATATACACAAATTGAGATATAAGCTGTACAAATGCAATTATATAAGGAGTCTTGAAGAGGGAGACTTTCATCAGTAATAACAGCAAATGAACAACCATATCAGAAAGACAAAACTGGACTAAGTTGTTCTAGGGTTAAGAACACAAAGCAAGAAAAATGAATGACTATGGGTAAGATACTCTGGTAAAGTGACAATATCCCAAAGGCAAACTTCCTGTGCTACACTTTAGCTGGCATTAAATCATGTGCTTGAGCTAGAGATGTGGCTTGGTGGTAGAGCATTAGCATAAGGTCCTAGGTTCAATTCCCAGTGTAACAAAGAAGTTTCAAGTAAAAGCATGTACTTTATGGGTGGTATGATGCAACCTTCATGTAGCAGCCATTATGGAATGACTATAGGAACTGATTCTGAGCTAAAATAACAACTCTTCAAATATTAGATCTTTTATCTCCATCTTTACATGGGGCACCAGTGTCCTTAATATTAGGAGCAACTGCCATGAAGTAGTTCAGATTTTTTGAAAATAGTAATTAAAAAATAGTTGTGAATTCTAATGAAATAGTTCTTTATGCTCTTATTTTGTTGGTTTTATGTTTACTTGTTTGTTTATTTGTTTACTCTTTGTGCTCTAGGAATTGAATCTTTCACCTTAAGCAAATAATTAACCAAAGAGTTACCTTGTGGTGATATATTGTACATCCCAATAAAACTTATCTGGGGATCAGAGGTCAGAGTCAGCCACTAGATTAGACATAGAGGCCAGACAGTGATGGCATGCACCCTTAATCCTATCACTTGGGAGATAGAGATCCGTCTAGATCTCTGTGAGTTTAAGGCCACACTGGGAACAGAGCCAGGCATGGTGTCACATACCTTTAACCCTATACGTTGAGATCTCATGCCTTTTCTTATGAAGCACACATGCCTTTAATCCCAGCACTAGGAGGGAAGGAAGGTAGCAGGGCACAGAAAAGTATATAAAGCATGAGTAAACAGGAAGTCTCTCTCTTCAGGCTGAGAATTTTGTAGAGGTAAGAACATGACTGGTTTATTCTGTTTCTCTGATCTTTCAGCTTTCACCCAAATATCTGGCTCTGAGTTTTGTTTTTAATAAGACCTCTTAAGTTTTGTGTTACATTGCCTCTTCAGCCATAAAGCAATTTTTGATAGACTCCTAGACAGAGCCTGCTCATAAGAAAGGCTCAGGTAGATGGACTTCTGCACCCTCCACCCTCTGGAGAGGAAGGCTGTCTGAAAATAGATTTAATAATTAATAAAAACTGTGTAATGAAGAGAACTTGGCCAGCAGGTTGTTCTTCAGTGGCAAAGAGATGCAAAAGATGTAGAAATGGAGAAGGTAAAAGAGAGTGAAGATAAATGTTGGGTCTGAGAGGTCTTGTTCAAGCTGTATTTTATGCCAAGCAAGTTTGTTAAGAAGTACAACATTTTATATATGGTTTTCCTGAACAGAGAAGTGGGACCATGTCAGCAAAAAACCATCATACAATATGACAAAGTCAATGGGATGCTGAATCAAATAGTGTGACACAAGAAAAATGCAAGATGTCTCAAGGGTGTCATACACTAAGCACATAGCAGCACTGAGACAGAGAAGCATAGCCCCTCAAGATAGAGAGAATCGAGTTCCCAAGCTCTGAAGCCACAGTCCTCTAAGCCCTGGCCCCAGGCCATTATTGGCTCTGCCTAGCATGTTCCTGGTTTTAGAGATGAAACTATGTTCTTAGGTAAAAGCTCCCAAGGGCCTGACCCAGGGCTATAACTGTCTCTGCCAAGCATATGCCCGGCTTTGAAAAGAAACAGTGTTCCTTCTCCATACAGCAGGACCACATGGATAGCATCCATAGATCAGTCCAGCCAGGGAAAATGAAGTATCTATAGAATTTTTGCATAACTACAGGTTGGTTAATACCTTCTTACACAAAGAAGGGTAGCAGTCAACTTCATGCAAACAGCAGCTTGTACACTGGGGTCCTTCTGAACATCCCCTGCCTACACAGCTCTTTATGTGATTGTACATCTGTATTTTTCATCAAATTATCTCCATGTAACAAACTGAGAAACATCATGTGTGTGTTTCCCTTAGATTGTGATCCACCCTACGGTATGAAATAGGCCCAAGGAGAAGGGTGTCAAGAATCCTCATTTACAGCTTGTGAGTACAAATAATTCAGTACATCTACTGTTGTGATTGATATCTGTGCATGTGGGGGTTTCGTAGGACTGAGACCTTAACCTACATTACCTGACACTCAATACAAAATTAAATCAGAATACTTCAGAACTGAATTGAATTATAGCATGTCCCAGAAGTAGCTGGTAAATAATAAGCTCTTGGAACATGAAAATATTCTTACTTACATTGAGAGTTCATTCAGGGGCATATTCAAGGAGAAAAAAAGTTTTTCTTTTTATGCAGTTGGAAAGCAAAAGACCACGAGGGAAAGAAATTAAATTGAATTTTTTCTGCATTCATTTCAGTAATTAGTTAGTTGTAAGCATTGTTAGCAGACACTGCTTTATGTTGTCACAAGAGTACATGGGTTGTAGAAAGGTAATAAAATCAGGTCAGAGCCTGATAGAGAGTGCAAGGTCTGCCAGTTGATTATCCTCAATATTAAACTTCAAGAAAAAAAATGAATCTTTACCTAGTGTGAAAGTTAATACTCACAAGACAGAGCTATTTTATTATCTAATGTGTATGAGTGTTTGACTGCTTGTGAGTCTGTGCACCGTGTGTGCAGTGCCTGTCCAGGCCTAAAAGGAGTATCAGATGCCCCGGAAGTGTAGTTAAAGATGGCTGTTAGCAGGCATGTTGGTTCTGGGAATTGAACCTGTGTGCCTTGGAAGAGCAGTGAGTGTTCTTAACTACTGAGCTCTCGCTCTAACCCACAAAGCTATTTTAATTTAAGGACTTTTAAATTTAATTTCTTCGAGTTTGAATATTCTTCTATTTCCTTGATAAAACTATCAAGTTCCAACTTAAGATCAAGGTTGATTAGAAGATACTTGGCAACATTTGATGGACCTATAAAACAGAATTAAACTTTCTTTTTCATCTTGTTAATGATGTTATGTATGCAATGCCGGGTATTTAGCAATATTAGTTAATTATGGAATCCATTGTGAAGGAATAAAGGCACATTAAATCTGTAATTTGTGATAGGGACTCTTAGCTACTATTGCATTTTTGCTCTAAGCAGCTGATGTGTTTAAAGAAACAAGGCTGTTAGGCTAAAGTTGTTTTAGCTGTCAAAGAAAAGAGCTTTTAATTACAGTAATCATAGTCTCGCCTTGAAAAATCTCATTGTCTATGTTCAAGGAATTATGGAATTAAATTTTGTCCTACAATAAAGTCTTGAAAATACTAATAAAATTGTGACAAGGAGTGACCAGTGTGATCATGGAATTTATTCAAATCAGAGGAGTGAGAGAAACAGTAAAAACAAACATCCTTAGAAGTCCTAAAAGAAAACCCTTTGGCAAATTGAACTGAAGAGTTTGAAGGGGAAAAAAGATTTACAAAGCCAGAAGTCCGGGAAACAGGACAGATTCTGTAAATCTGCAGAGCTCTGATGTAACTCTTCATGGACAGAAAAATAGAAGAGACTTGGAGAAAATGCAATTAATCATAGAGAAAGTGCAATTGGTTAAAACCTATGATTTCTATATTTGAACCCAGTTTGGCTGAAGCGTGGCCACTTTGGTGAAATAAGATACAACTAGTGTTCTCAAAAGCGAATTTTTAAAACAAATGTTCAGCTTGTTCATATATTAAAAGCATTGCTACTTGCTACTGAAGGATGCAGAAATGTGAGTGTGAAATCTTCTTAGGCCAAATGAAGAGAATCACAAGAATGACCAGGTGAATATGGATGTATTATTGGAAAGATTGCTTTATGTCCTTGCATTCTACTTAAGTAGGTGATGATTGAATTATCTTAGAAACTGAAATTTCATCTGACACTTGAAGTTTTTTTTT